AAATTCAGCCAAGTTGCAGGATACAAAATCAATACACAAAAATCAGTTGTGTTTCTAAACACTGACAATGAACAACCTAAACAGGAAATTTTGAAAACCAATTTCATTTACAATAGTGTCACAAAAGAATAAAATACTTAGGAATAAACTTAACCAAGGAGGCAAAAGAATTGTACACTGAAAACAATAAAACGGTGCTGAAAGAAATTAGAGACACCAATAAATGGAAAGACATCCCATGGAATGGAAGACTTAACACTGTTAAGATGACAATACTCCCCAAAGTGATCGACAGATTCAATGCAATCTCTATCAAAATCCCAATGATATTTTTTTGCAGAAATGGAAAAATCCATCCTAAAATTCATATGGAAAGTCAAAGGACCCAGAATAGCCAGAACAATCCTGAAAAAGAAAAACAAAGTTGGAGGTCTCACACTTCCTAATTTCAAAATTTACTACAAAGCTACAGTAATTAAACCAGTGTGGTACTGGCGTAAAAATAAACATACAGACCAATGGAATAAAGAGCCCAAATCCTTGCATACACAGTCAAATAATTTTTGACAAGGGTGACACCAAGACCATTCAATGGGGTAAAGGACAGTCTTTTCAACAAATGGTGCTGGGAAAACTGAATATCCACATGCAAAAAAAATGCAGTTGGACCCTTACCTAATGCCATATACAAAAATTAACTCAAAATGGGTCAAAGATCTAAACATAACAGTTAAGATTACAAAACTCTTAAAGAAAACACAGGGAAAAAGCTTCATAACATTGAATTTGGCAATGATTCTTTGGATACGACACCAAAAGCATAGGCAACAAAAGAAAAAAATAGGTAAGTTGGACTTCATTAAAATTTAAAACTGTTGTGCATCAAAGAACACTATTAACAGAGTGAAAGAAAATCCACAGAATGGGAGAAAATATTTGCAAATCATATATCTCATAAGGCATTGATATCCAGAATATATAAAGAATCCCTACAACTTAACAACAGAAAAACAAACAACCCAGTTGAAAAATGGCAAAGGACATAAACAGACATTTCACCAAAGAAGATACACAAATGGCCAATAATCACATGAAAAGATGTTTAACATTACTAATCATTAGGGAAACGCAAATCAAAACCACAATGATACCACTTTATACCCATTAGGACGGCTATTATCAGAAACAGAAAATAACAAGTGTTGGTATATACTCAAAAGAAGTGAGGGCAAGGACTCAAACAGACATTTGTTAATCGTGTTCATAGCAGTATTAATCACAATAGCCAAAAGGTGAAAGCAACCTAAGTGTCCATAGATGGATATGTGGATAAACAAAATGTGGTATATACATACAATGCAATATTTAGTTTTAAAAAGGAAGGAAATTCTGCCACATGCTACAACATGGATAAACCTTGAAAACATTATGCTAAGTAAAATGAGCCAGTCACAAAAGAGCAAATATTGTATGATGCCACTTATATGAGGTACCTAGAATAGTCAAATTCATAGGGATAGAAAGTAGAATGGTGGTTGCTAGGGGCTGGGGAAATGGGAGAATGGGAAATTAGCATTTAATGAGTACAGAGTTTCACTTGGGGAAGATGAAAAAGTTCTGGAGATGAATGGTGGTGATGGCTGAACAATGTAAACGTACATAATGACACAGAACTGTGCACCTAAAAATGGTTAAAATGGTAAATTTTGTTATGTAATTTTGCTACAATAAAAAAAAAGAAAGAAAATATAGGGGTAAATGTTAATGACTTTGAATTTGGCAATGGTTTCTTAGGTATGACACCAAAAGCACAACCAACATAAGAAAAAATAGATAAACTGGACTTCACCAAAATTAAAAACTTTCGTGCATCAAAGGGCACTATCAAGAAAGTGAAAAGATATTTAACATAGTATTGGAAGTCCTAGCCAGAGCAATCAGGCAAGAGAAAGAAATAAAAGGGATCCAAATTGGAAAGGAAGAAGTGAAACTGTCACTAT